GTCTTTGGGACCCAAACGTTTCGCAGCCCCGCAAGAAAATTGAAAACATGGTTCACAAAAAAAGCTTTCGGTCAAAAAGATTCGGTCAAAACGTTTTTGGGACCCAAACCCTTAACAATTTCTACAAAACCCTTAACAATTTCTATACGTCTCGCTCCAAAGTTTCGTTCAAAACGTTTCGCAGCCCCCCAAGAAATTTGAAAACATGGTTCGCAAAAAAAAAAACTTTCGGTCAAAACGTTTCGCTCAAAACGTTTCGCTCAAAACGTTTCGCTCAAAAAGTTTTTGGGACCCAAACCCTTAACAATTTCTATATAGACCCTTAGGTGCCCGTCGCGGCCTCATTCCGAGGTGTCTCCTCCCGGGGGCGGTCACTCTCTTGGGGTTTGGGGTTTGGGGGCTTAAGAGCTTTCCAATCAGGGTTACAGAGTGCTGGCGGTCTCTCCTTCTATACACTGCGATGCCAATACTACAGCTCAAGGGCCCTAACGGCGACAGATACATAAAGTCTTTGCACATGAGCACCCTGGTATTATATACAAGAACACACCTGAGTTCACACAGGGTTTAGGGTTTATAAGGTTTCCAATCAGGGGGGAGAGAGGGAAAGGTTTGAGGGGCACAGGGCTCCTCGCACTCGCAGTCGCGGTCCCAGCAGCGGCTTCTGAACTCCCAGGCGCTGCTGGGAGCTTCGGGTGTTGTAGGGTGTAGGGTTTAGGGTTCAAGGTTTTGGGTTTAAGGCTTTTGGGTTGCCGTTTTTTTTTTTGGGGGGTGGGCGGGGGGGCGGGGCTCAGAAGTGACCTAAACTAGCCTGAGACAAGGAACTTAATTGGGGGTTTATGGTTTAGGGTTTAGGGTTCAGGGCTTAGGGTTCAGTGTTCAGGGCACGCGCTTAGGGTTTGGGGCTTCAGGGTACCCATTTTCCTTCAATGCAACAAAGGCGCAAGCCGGAGAACATGGCGGAAAATTACTTCAATCAATGATGTTGGACATCTATAGACATGTAGTGGAACATGTGTATATTTGGGTTAAGAGTGGTTGCTCATGTAAAATTACGTGCAGGACGAGTAGACTTGACAACCAATTTTCGTATACAGGATCTGTCTAGGACCTTATCTGGGGCATCTCACTTGGGCCAACTGTGCCACCGTGATGCATCTTCTGGGTTGAGACCCTCAATACCGTTGGAGACCATCGTTGTTGGTCGCGTCGGATGTGTCCATGCAAGAGGGGGGGGGGCAACGGGTATCATCGCCGGATTCAGATTCAAAAGCCGAATTCATCCCATTTGGGCCACGGCTTCATTGGTCAGGGTTCCACAGCACGCAGTACCTTAGCTCAGCTAATCTCCAACTCCGCACCTTTTTTAAAAGCCCTCCTCTGATGCGCCAGGACGCTGCAAGCAGTCGAGGGGTGGCCCGGTGAGCTGCAAATTCTGCTCTCAAGAGATCTGCGAACTCTCCCAACACTCTTGAAAAAGCAGCCCTAGCGGGGAATCCTGCGTTAGGAATTACTTGGAATGCAGAGCATGCCGACTTTTGCCAGGCGGCGAGGTGGCGTTGATGGGAAGCGTTGGTGGGAAAGCATGTCGTCACGTTCCTCCGGTAGAGAGAGAGAGAGAGAGAGAGAGAGAGAGAGAGAGAGAGAGAGAGAGAAAGAGAGAGAGGGAGAGAGAGAAAGAGAGAGAGGGGGGAGTTCATATATGTGGCAAGCGATCGCTGCCCCCCCCTGGCCCCCCCCCCCCATGACCCCATGCCCCCCCCCCCCCCCCCCCCAAATTCTTTCCCTGCCCCGCCGGCAACAGATACTGCGCCATTGATTCTCCTTGCTGCCTTGAAAGGATGCCGCCCTGCTGTGCTCCAGCCTCATAGAGCTCCCTCGCCTGCTGCATCCGGCGCGGCCTCAGTTCCGTAGAAATCTTCTCGATCAGGTAGTCCAGGCCGCCGGTGCCATCCAGTTTCTCTAGATCAAGCTGCTGAGCAATCTTCAGGGCTTGTCCTGACAATCCTTCCAACACACGCAAAGGAAGGCTGCCAAGCTTCTTGGCCTCCGTCTCGGAAATAGACTTCTCCTTCTTGGCCAGCATCTTCACTTTGAAAACCCATTCGTTCAATCTCGAAGCATCTCCATTGAACCTTGGGATTCCATAGCGACTCTCGGTCGCTGTTCCTCCGGCATCGTCTTGATCGCTGACGAACCGGGCAAAACGCAGGCTGTCCAGGAGCGATCCTGCAGCCATGAAAGGAAAAAGGTGGGCTCGCCAAAGGGTGCCCTCGCAAAGCGGATCTAAGCCGCTCCGCTACCAGTGCGAGAACGCACTGGCAACGGCAATCGATCTTTCTGCTCGCTTGAGCCATTTCGCGGTCGCTGCAAGGCTGAGGTCCAGCGCATGAGTCTACTCTCGGCTGTGTCTGCTGCGCACTGTACCTGCGACAAACCACCGGTTTCACATCTGAATTAAAAAGGCCCCGTCGCCCTGCGTGAAGGCATGGAACCGGGCTTAAAGGTCAGTTGGGATGCGGCCAGCCCCGGAGGGACGGTGCAGCAACATGCGCGGAAGGAGGAACCACAGCTTCCAGGCACGGACCAGGTCAAGTGCTCAGGAACCGCCCGGCGCATGTGCACAGGACCGAATCAAGTCAAGCGCAACGTGTACACATCTTCGCAACACACCCTCGCAAAAGTGCGGCGGTACCCGGAACAGGCAGCAAGGCCGCGCTAGCTTCTCCACAACTACGAAGGGGTCAAGGTTCGTTAAAGAAGCTCGGTAGCGCGACCGGGCATCAACACCGGGAACGCGATCGCAGGGGCATGCCTCAGGGTTTGTGGTTCAACGGGAGCAGGTTGTTCAGCACGGGCAGCGCTACGACTGCTGGAGCTCGTCGGGGAAGAACTTGAACTGGAAGGGTCGTCAGGCGGCACGGGGCACGGGGTCGGGCTCGACATGGGCCGCAGGGCAGCTTGTAGGGGCTTGAGGGGGAGGGGCGGGAGCACCGGCGGCCGGCAGGCCCTCATGCACGGTGCAATGCGGTGACATCGCGCAACAGCGCCGACGCTTCTCGCTCCCCCATGAAAACGTGCAATAACGCTTCTTGGACGGTGGCAGGTATGTACCCGTCGGACAAAGTGACGAGGTGCCATGCCC